TGAAGTCTTGTGAATGAAGGCAAATACACACCTCCCAGGATAATGGTTGCAGGATCCAATCTTGAGTCCCTCACGAGGACCAAAGGTTTATTTTTCCAAGCTTTCAGGCTCATTCCTGTCATCAGAGAAACCCTCCCTCCCTCCCTCCCTCCCTCCCCCCCTCTCTCTCTCTCTCTCTCTCTCTCTCTCTCTCTCCCTCTCCCTCTCCCTTTCCCTCTCTCCAGAATATGTGCAGTGGGCTGTTCTATGTATTGTATTTATATGATTCCTGGTTGTGTGTAGCTTTTAGTTGTTAATTAGAGTGTTGATAGTTAGGTATTAAGTCAGTTTATAGAGAGAGGGGGGTTCTCTGAGGATGCTGTCTCATTATCCTGAATCTTGTATATACCCCTCCAAAAAAGGAGTTTTAGTAAGATGGCTTTACTCATTCTCTTCTAAAAAGACTTTATTAGCCATCCCTATATCAGACCTTCCTTCTTATGCCACAAAGAGGAAGTAAAGGAAGAATGCACCAAGCACATTAAATAGACTGGCTTCATTACACTTGCATGCTTTTGCATCCAGAGTGTGTTTTTGTGGGTTTCATCTTGCCTAAAATCTGACCGCAATGCTTACAGGATCTGGCCTAAGGCCGGTTTGTTAGTATTATTACTGTGCAAAAGGCTTTGAACTCAAAATCTGTGCTAGAAATGCTCCCAGCGTGAAAGAGCACAGATTTGGGTTGGATCGCTTCTGTGGTTAAAAAGCTGTTTTGCGTTCACACAACTGTTTCAGGTCACTGTCCCTTATTTTCCATGTTTAAAGGGTTATGCTCTGAAACAAATACCATGGTTCACCTGCCAAGGAGTGTTCTGATGACCTGCTGTTCCACGTTCAACATTTAGTATGAGCGATAGATTTTATATAGATAAATTTTTAAGTTTAAAATACAGAAGCAATAGCACTAGTCGTCTGCATTTCCAAAAGATTTCTTGCCCTCAAACTTATTATGATTATTGTTTACTCTGTGTGTTATATATTTTTGAAAATAACCAATGCCTTCTGGGACTGGGGCTGAGGTTATTGAAAATCACACTATTTGTAAAAATGCATTTTTTTTCCTCTCCTCCCCAGTTATATTGTCACCTGTCCACGGCAGCTTGCAGGAATCATTTTTGAAGCAGAAGAAAGATTTCATTGAGAGATCTTTGAAAAGGGTGGAGAAACTAAAAAACCGAGAGCAGAGCTCTGAAAAGACCCAGTCTAAGGAATTGCCACTGAAAAAACCACAACTCCATAAACGAAAAGTAAACCGGGCGCTTCATGGTAATCGTCAGCAAACAAGTATAAATTAAGGGAAAAGAGTGTGAAACGTGAACGATCATTTTAGAAGAACCCTCTGCTTATGACCCTTAATTTGGGAATGTTGTGATTTGTAAACATTCTGAGGAGGTGTGTGTGTGTGTGTGTGTGTGTGTGTGTGTGCAAGAACATGGGCAAAATAATCCCAAGTATTTGTGTAGTAGTTCTTGTACCTCAGTTTTATGCACATATTGGGAAGAATTGCTTTTACCTCTTATCTTTCCTGACCTGAAAGATTTCTCTAATTTAATCCTTGTTGTGTTTCATGTTCTGCTTGGATTCAAGGGGCAGCTGTCAATCTTTTAAAGACAGTGGAAGAAAAAAGGTGCTCTCCACTTGACAGGAAAGAGGCTGTGGCACAAATGCAGCAACGGACTTCAAGGTATTGAACCTTCCCTCGTAACTTCAGAGAAATTAAACCCATGTATTTTTTTAACAAGCCATGTTATTTTATCCAGAGAACTGCCTTCGATTTTGGCTTTGCAGGCCATCATCAGCACCTTGAATTGCCCCTGAAGCATACTGGCAAATCGGTGCAGCTTATAAAGGTGTCACATCAACACGTATTGTATATTTATTTGATTTACAGGGTTGCCCATCTCATTTTTATTTTGTTCTACGCAGCCTACAGCAAAACATGAAACAATATAAAAAAGCAAATAAAAAAATAAAGCACAAGTCATAATTTGATCAGCCAGCCAGCCAGCCAAATGAATTCTGTAGACATCCAGGGCCACACACATTGGCACAAAGGCAGATTTTCAAGGATTTACAAAAGCCCAACAGGGACAATGCCAATCTAATCTTAGGAGGGATGATGCACCAGGGGGCAAGTTAGACAGCAGAAAAGGGCCTCCTTCTGGATCACACCGGCTGAGTGCTTGGAGAATGCCTTTCCTGCCAGATTGGGTACAATAGGTAAACAATTGGAGAGCGATGGTCCCCATGTGTTTCCACAAGGAAGTCTGGCTCTTAGGTCTCGAATTATTATTTCTGCCGATGTCTTGACTGGAGACTGGAAATTTCCCCTAAAGGCTACTATTGCTTTTTGAATAATTTACTGGTAACTGGAACAACTTTCTACTTTTTGGCAGACTGTATAATAATCTGGCAGAAGTGAAAAACAGAAAGGAAGAGAAAAACAGAAAAGAAAATTACGCCAAGAACAGGGAAAGAGCAAAGGAATTTCAAAAGGTAAAACATCTGCAACACAATATTTCATCCCAGCATCTAATTTTAAAAAAAAAAACTTCTAAATTTTGCTGGTTGTACTTGTTCTTTTAATAAGTGACTATATTTAGCAATGGAGGAATTCATCCTGTTCCCAATGCAGAAAACTAAATGTAGTTGGCAGCTAGTGTCAGAAGTCAAATTCCTTTTATTGCCATGTTTCTCTTGTGTCCAACTATATTTAAAAAGCAGCTGTTACGACATTCCATGTGAGCACTTCATGAAAACTTGTCAGTATAGAGCAGGGGTGTCAACCTCATGCTATTACGTTGTCATCACATGAGGTATCGCGACTTTCCCCTTTGCTAAACCAGGGGTGGTGGGTGTGACTAGTGTGTGATGCCTCCAGCCCACGGACCGTTTGACACCCCTGGTATAAAGGATAGAGTAAGTTAGTCCCCAGTGAACAGTTTGAATTTGCAGTGGCGCTGAACAAGTGGTGCTTACACCCAGGTTCTCAAAGTTCCAGTCACCACTTTAAGAATTGCTATTTGCCACTTTCCCTGCCAGTTTCCCACAAGGAAGCCTGCAGAGAAGCTTGCAAATTGCTTCTGGACCTTTCTTTCTCTCCTGAGCCCCGGAGAACAAAATTCCAGGGACCTCATACTCCACTCTCGCACCATAGTAGTAACCATTCCCCAGCCTGCATACAATTGCCACAGCACTTTTAAATACTTACCACCCACCTTCCAGCCTCCTTTGGAGTCACCAGGCAATTACAATTTCCAACTGGCTTCCCTACTGACAGCTTATGGGAAGCCAGTAAAGAAGTTGGCAGTCACTCACGAGGTTCTTGCTTAGCATCGTGTCTTTTTTTGTTTTAACCACAGCAACGAGAACTACTGGGATTGCCATCGCTAAGTGATGTGTTCATGTCAAAAACAATTGCTTAGCCATTCCAGTCCCCAATTTTTGTTAAGCAAAGGCTACTGTTTTATCTAAAAGCAGAGCAAGTAAAATAGGCAATATCCCCCAAATCATTGTAGCTGTCCAGGAGTTTGACTGTATAACTTTTTGTCAGAAACCACCCATGCTACCTTTTGGTCACTTTTAAATTTCTAAGTGGTATTGCTATTATACTTCTTCCATTTATTAATTGTTTTTTCTTTCCTATTTTCTTACAGAAAACATTGGAAAAACTACGAGCCAGAAAAATCAACTTGAAAACCTAGTATTTTGCAGATATTCCACCAATGGAGGATAATTTATCAGCATTGTATTTGAGGTCTGTGTGATAATTATGTGGCAGAAATTGGGATAATTCACATTTCGTATGGATATATTTGCAAATTGCCCAATGCTGTGTATAGACCATTGTCTCCAATTATGGCTTTTCAACTCAAAAATATTTTTATTTTCAAACGTCACCCGTTTTCTTTTTGTACTATTATTTTACCTATTTATAATAAAATATTTGCAAAAATGTAGATTGACAAGTTATTCAAAAGCCACGTTCCTTTCCGCTTGCGCTTAAAAAGTTGTGCTGTCATCAGGATTGGAAAGGGAGCTTTATTGTCAGCCTCCTGCCAAACAATCCAGAACGGGGTCACCAACCTTTTGGACCTCAGGGACCACCAAACTCATAATTTTAAATCCTGCGGACCAGAGACCTTGGAAAAATCCCCGCAAAAAAGTCTGCAGGAAAATCCCACCCCGTTTTCCTACCGATCGATCATTGTTTATTTGGGATCGCAGGATACTGTCTCCAGCTCTGTTCTGGGGCGGGTGGGGGGGGGGGGGGGAGGAGGGGGAGGGAGACCGACATTTGGCTTCATGCAAGGAAAGCAGCAGAAGTCTTTCTCTCCCCCAAACTCCACCAGAAATGAGTCTTTGTGAGACTTTGTTGCGCCGGCAGGATGCCTTGCAGGGTCCCAAAGACTCATTTCTGGAGTTTTGGGGAGAGAAAGAAAGACTTTTGCTGTTTTCCTTACATGCAGCCAAAAGCAGAAGAAGCAGCCCAGTAGCCAGGCCCCGTGGGGTGAGTGAGACAAGCTCCCCCCTCTCCCCTCCCCTCCCTATTTTGTGTTGTTCTCAATGCAAGCGTTGTGTTCCCATGAGCCATGTGGGCAGCGCAGTCTTGTGTTCCTGCGCAGCCTGGATTAATTGCTTTGGGGGGTGACATTTCTCTGCGGACCACCAAAATTTTCTCACGGACCACCAGTGGTCCTGGGCCCGCTGGTTGGCGACCATTGATCCAGAAGATGGAGAATGAAAAGTAATTGAGGAAGAATAGCCAGCTGCCTGGGAAATTTCAGCTGCAAGAGAAAACCACTCAACACAACCTCAAATTTTTCTTAACCTGCCTAATGTTGCATTAATGAGCAATACCAGTCGGAGTCTACTGTGTTGCTTTCTAGAAGCACACGGGAGAAGTAAAAAAAAGATTCAGAGGATACAAGATCATGAAATAAGACTTCACAGGCTGTGTGCCCAGTCTGGTTTATTAAGTAAGCTATCATTAACCACAGTACAGCAAAACAGCAGCAGCAAATGCAGTTGGAAACAGCTAGATTATTCAAACAAGTATCTGTTTTAACAATTAGAAACACACAGGAACATGGCTGCTTGCAAGAAACACAACAAGGTTTTGTAGGCTAATCAGTGGATTCCACAATTATTCAAATACTACTTAATGCCCCAATATTGGGCAGAGACCATTCTGTTCCATGTCTTCTTCCTCTTGGCATTCTTCAAGAGCCAGCAACCTGAAATGGAAGCAAAGTACGGTCAATCCAATATATCATTGATCTTTCCACTAACCCTCAATGGAGCTGGCTTAGCTGCTTATTTGGTTAACTGCAAGCCCATGGAGGACAGTTCTTCTAAATAACTATTGAACTTTGTAATAGATATTTTCCCCAAATCTCTCCAATGAACCACCTTCCATCTAGTCCGTGTGTGTGTGTGTGTGTGTGTGTGTGTGTGTGTCAAACTCGTTTTCACTGAGGGCTGCAACAGGGTTGTGTCTGACCGCATGGGGGTGTGGCCAACTCAATGTCACTCGTATCGGGAGCGTCTTGAGATGGTCCGAGCGCTCTGCCAATGAAAATGAAGCTCCTGAGCTCCATTTTCACTGGCAGAGGGTTGTAGGAGGCCATCGCAACAGAAAACAGAACTCGGGAGGTCCGTACAGGGCCTTCCCCCAGCTGTTTTCACTGGCAAAAGGCACCGCAGGGCGGTCCTTTGCTGTTTTCAGAGCGGGCCAGATCTAAGCACCTCACGGGACGCATCTGGCCCACGAGTCTTGAGTTTGACTCCCCTGAATTTCTGACCATTCTTTCATCCTAAATGTTACACGTCCACCCGCTTTTGACTCAACGGACGTGTCTCCTCTCGTATAGATCACAGAGAGCTCCAGGTACCCCTGGCTATCCTACAGAGGATTTCCATATAAGGTCACCGCGTTAAGAGCTGCCTGTTCAACTGGCACACAGCCCTCTTTGAAATGACCTCCTGTACAGCTTCTTCTCCACAGCCTTCCGTTTCTTTTACCTTTGGCTCGAAGTCCACTTTCATCCAACTTTGCAGGTTCCCACCGAGATTTCCTTGGTATTTCGGTAAAAGCTCTCTGTTGCAAACAGTAAAAATGTGGTTAAGCATCAAGTTACGGCAAGTGGATCTTAAATCTCTTGAGTTATTAATCTGTTTTAGATGAGAACATAAGCAGAACTGAGATACAAGGGAAGATGATGCAGGAAACTACAGACATCCTTTAAGTTTGCAGCTTTTAAACTCTGGGCCTCAATTCTTAATTTTTTCACCTAATGTTCCCACCAGATTTATTGCTACCAAGGCAGCAATGTAAAAATCTAGAGGAGTTGCTTTATGGTCACGTCCACAGCATACGAGAAATAAAATTTTCTAGCAGCCTTGGTAGAGACCAAGTCCAGGTAGTCTTCAACATACAATGGCAATTGAGCCCAAATTTTCTGTCGTGAAATGAGACACTGGCTAAGTGAGCTTTGTCCCATTGTATGGCCTGTCATGCCTCAGGTGTTAAGTGAATCACTGTAGTGATAAGTTAGTAAGTGAACCGGTTAAGTGAACCTGGCTTCCCCGTTGACTTTGCTTGGCATAAGGTTGCAAAATGTGACATGACTCTGGGACACAACAACGTCCATAAGTATGAACCACATCTGAATTCTGATCATGTGAGGCTACAAATGTTGTTAACTCTGAAAAAAATGGTCATAACTCAGTTTTTTCAGTGCTGTTGTGACTTTGAACGGTCACGAAATGAATTGTTGTAAGTTGAGGACTGCCTGACCACCTGTTGGGTGCTTGACAATGGGCCCACATTTATGGCTTTCTGCAGTGCCCTGCAGTCAGATGATGGTTTTATGATGGTTTCGCCAAAAGCCAGCATTTTCACCAAAAAACCCCAGCCCCATTAGTGAACTGTTCCAAGTTTGCTTTAATGCCTATAAGTGGCCGCTTTAGGACTGCTGCGTTTGCTTAACCTACACCACACACACACAAAAAATGTAAAAATTGGGTTGGATAGATGGGTGATCCTATTTACGATTGTCATGACTTACAACCATGATGGGCTATTAACAGTCATTGATCAAAGGCTACCTGTAAGATATTATGATCTAAAATAAAGAGGTTATTATTTCAGCGATTTAGCTGTGCATTTTCACTTGCTTGTTTCAATGCGAAAACTGAAAGGAACATTCTGCTATTATCTATTTAAGATATTTGAAATATACCACAAGAATGCTTTCATATTCTCCATCCTTGTAGTATCTTCCCAGAATTTAGGATGCTGCAATGGTATTTTCTTCAAGGGAATGAAGGTCTCTTGTTTTATAGTATTTCGTCATCTTGAAGTGTTTGAAGAAATCCAAATTTCAGGCCGAAGGTGGGATTATATGGCCAGCAAGGCTCTGAAGGCTACAATCAAAACTAAAGGAGGCAAAATTGGTCACATTACCTTTTCACGGACACCTTTTCAGAAGAGTCAGCACGACTGATGTCACGTCCCCCCACCTGCAGAGTGAGAAAAGCGTATCTTCATGGCCATTCTTTAGGAGGAATCCTGGGACTATCCTACGATCTTTATTGTCTTGTAATTTGACTGCACCCATCAAACACAGAGATCAATGGGTAAAACGAAATCACAAGTTGGTCACTTTATGAGGCGTTTCCAACGATAAAGAACCAACAGTTAGGCTCTATCGGGATAGACCTCAATCTTGGTTTTTCAATATTGTTATATCTAGACAGGTTCTGTCCACCATTTCGGGACTCTGTTTTATCGGAATCGGATATCTCTGATGTAAAGACTTCATTACATTTTATCCCCTCCAGCTCAGCATCATCTACTTCCAGTCTACAACACATTCAACAGTTCCAAGAAAACTCCACACCCATTTGCGCTACTCAGGTGACCCTGAGGACACAGATAAACCTCCAAGGGGCCTCAATGTCTCTCTGAAAGAATGCAAATGACCAGCTGTCTACAAGGGATATAAATCCTTCCAATCCCCACGATCCAGTCAGAATCCGATTGGACTTTCTGGTTTTTCTTTGAAGACGTTTCGCTTCTCATCCAAGAAACTTCTTCAGCTCTGATTGCCATCCAGCTCTGGATGAGAAGCGAAACGTCATCAACTAAAAATGTTCGGGCAGGTGTATAAAAATCCAGCCAACATTCAATGTACTGCTCATAATTTGAAAGAGGAAAAGAAAACGAGATTCCATACTAGGCCGTGCCTGTTTTTTTCATTTGAAGTGGCTGCAGTTCACTTATGCTGTGCGCTCAACCAGGGAAAACCAGCTGTCAATTTGCAGGTACAGAAAAACATACAATGAATAAGTGCGCAAGGCTATCAGAGTTACAGTACATTCTTCTTTTCCTATAGTCATAGAAAACTTCAGCTATCAATTTCAACTACTTTGCAAAAGTATTCAAAAAAATTTATTACCGGTTCTGTGAGTGTGGCTCAGTGGGCGTGGCTCGATTGTCATGTGACTGTGGGCGTGGCTTGGCTGTCAGGTGATTGGATGGCATGGTCAAGTCGACATCACTTCCTTGCCCTAATGACCTAACAAAAAGATATACAAAAAGGTATTTATTACTTTCTGCATTTAATACTCAAGAATAAAAGTACACAAAACAATAAGAGGTATACAAGTACTTACATAAGAACAATAAAAGTGCTATTTGTCTTTAAGGTATTTCCAAATCGATGTTTGATTGGCGAACTCACTTGCACTTTTTTTCACTTTTACTCAAGCATCGTTGGCTGTGTGATGTGTTCTCAACCATTTTATGACTGTAGGAACAGGGTCCCAGAGTGAAAGTGGGACTCAAAAGAAGGGGTGGAGCAGGATTTCCGCTCCGCAAGAGCAGCGGCGACCAAGTTTTTAGAGCTACTGACATATCCGGAAGAATAACAGGACTATAAAGAAAAGGAGATGGGAGTTAGAGGAAAGCCTAGACTAAATAAGACTATGAGGAATATGCTAACTTTCAGCATTTAAAAAGAGACCAGAAGAATGCATACAAAAGGGAAGTGACTGATGCAATATTTATAAGGATTCCATAAGGGTCCCTGTGATATTCAGGGAAGACATTAACCAATTTGAATGTGGAAGAGTGAAAAAAGAAGAGAAATATTTTTGGTGAACTTGGAACTGTACATCTATCCAGATATTGTTTTTGAAAAGGGCTTAGTGACTTGATGGGTTTTGGGGCCTTGGTGGATTACAAATTCTAAACTGCAAAAGGATCCCAAAGCACTACAATAAGAACAGTGTGGATTAATTTAATGTGGATTACAAATTTGACTGCTGAAGAAATGGAAGCAGCATTTACCCTTAAGACTTACGAGTAATCATTAAACAACACTTAATTATTGTGTTATTAACTTTGTAATCATATATATATGCATGCTTTTGAGATTGTGGGTTTATCTTTGATCTTTATTGATATCTATATTAATATAATTTTAGAATTGTAAATGGTACACTAAGGGTGTGGGAAATAATCTTTAATAGTATAAAAATAACTATTGTGTTTGCTAGTTTGGAGAAGCACTTTTGGATTATTAGAGATGACAAATACATCTAACATATTGGTCCAATCTTTGGACACGTGAATACCTTTCTCTTTTGTGAAGTCATGTTTTGTACAATACTTGCAACCTATGTTTCTCTTTAAAATTGTTATACTGTTGCATGTCCAGCAGTCAGGAAGATTACTTTCAGGATCATAATCACCAATAGTAAGAGTTGTTGCTTTCTCCAAGTTCGAGTGGTGGTGCTTGTGATACAATTCTGTTGTATCTGGTTCCAATCGTTGATCAAACTCTGTTGCCTTTTCATCCTGTTAAAGGCTACTAACTGCAAAAGAAATAAAACAATATTGTACTTTGGACTCGATTGTGGTTTGGACTACAGGTAACGGAAGGGATCTGTTTTCACCCAACAATGTACAGTCTTTTCATCCAAGGAGCAGAGATCAGTAATATTTAGTCACTCGCAGTGTCTGACACTAGTGTTTCAAAGATGTTATAGAAGAGGAACAAGTTTCACCAGACAAGACTGAGACTGGGCTGAAAGTGGATTTAAGAATAACAACAGATATACCAGTAAGCTTGATTGATTTTAACATAGCTCCCCCGACCCTATTGCCAAACTAATTTTTTCTGCAAAATTTTACTTGCTACAGACTCTTTATTTAAGTAACTGCTGCTCTAGGTCTGGTTTTTTTAGGAACCAATCTCCAGGGAAAATATATTCCATTGAAACAAGCAGCTTAGTAAGACTTTCTCCTGTTCTTAAACCAGGAAGAAAAGACCAGTCTATGTCACATAAACATTCCTTTTCTCCTGGTCTTCCTCTTCCCCATAGGATCTTTTTAAATGGCGGGCCATATTAAGCTTATTTTCGAAGCTATAGGAGAGCTTCCATTTATTTAAGCTAAAATGGTAGCAAAAAGAAAAAAAGATTGATTCCTTGTGGGGGGGAGGAGAATATCTCTTGAAAAGAGCTGAAGTTGAAATGACTAGAGATAGAAAGACCAGGGGGAAAAAACCCCATAAAAATCGAGAGAAAAACAGGTCGTCCCCCCAGCCATTTGGAAAACAGGAAAAAAAAAACCTGGTTTCCCCATATATTTTTTTGTCCCAGGTTTTCCCATCTCTAGTCATCACCATCGCCCATTGTCCACCCATCCCACCGGATTCAGGGCGCTCTGTTCAATGACTTCCCTTTGTATCAAGAACCAATTATGCCCCCTTGGTAATCTCATCACCTGCTCAGCAATACAAAATACTCCCAAGGAATGTTGTTTTCTACAGCCAAGGCCCAGAAAGTCAACACAGTATTGGGGTAGAAAGGCTACTTCTGTCGCCTTTGTTCAGAATGGCTGTTACATCATTCTCTCTTTTCAGAGCAGTTGAACATCTTGCCAATCATCATGACAATCCCATCCGTCTTACGAAAAGAACCTCAATTTTCACGCCGGGCTTTGGCGCGACGTTATTTGTCATTTTAAAAGCCCTTCTAGGATAACGCAGTAGATTCCAAAGTTATCTACTGTTCTCTTAGTAATGGGTATCGGTTTCAGAATTAATTATTTCAGTATCTTACCAAATCAGCCATAGATGTCGACGGAAGAGAATATCTGTAGCTCAGGGTTCAACGGTGGAGCCCTTGATGCTTTCCAAGCTTCATGGTTTTCTGGCAGATATCTCATTACCAAACTAGGTGACGTCATCAGTTGGCGTAGGGCTTGTTCTCATTTTATATTCTAGAGTGCCTTGCGTTATCAGAGTTGGTAGGAGGGGCCTTGGTAGGCTGCTGTCAGCTTGTCCGTCATGTTCCTTGACTGGGGGCATTGTTTGCTTCTTGATGGTTGGTCTAATGTTAATCTTGGTGTTCTGTGTTCATCAGGATGTTCACTGATGGTGAGGAGTCTTCAGACTGCTAATTGGCATTTATGGACATGAACTGCTAGACTTCTGCCTGTTTATCCGGAGTGGCTGTTATGGGCCTTGCAATATATGTTGTAGATGATTCCCATTTTTTCTTCTGGGGCTGCCAAGTCCTTCAGTTTACTTGTTTTGGAGGGCTTTGGTCAGTTGGTGTGCTGCAATGACCCCATGTGGTTGTTGGGTTTGTTGTTGGATCAGTGTAGTGGCTTTACAACAGACGTGTATTTCTAATTTGCCATTCCTGCCTCTGGAACGAAGATATCCATGAAAGGTAGTGTGGCTTTCTCCCCCTTCCCTGGTGAATTTAACTCCTTGAAAATGATGGGAGGGTCCTTGGATGGTCCCCAGCTGGCCCTTTTAAATCATGACAAAGGTGTCGCCTACGTACCCAATCTATATTTTGGGTTGCACGTATGGGCGTGCTAGCGATATCAGGGGTTGGATTATGGTCTCTGCTATTACTTCTGAAAGTGGACATCCTGCAGGGGGTTCCTCTGATCTGTTGATATACGTGTCATCCGAACTAAAAGTACCTGGTTAGGCAAAAGATTGACACGATCCACATTCCTGATTATTTCAATTTTCAACATGATCTGCTAGACTTCTGCCTGTTTATCC